TGAAATAAGGAAAACCTGCCTAAACTGAACACAGAAATAAGGAAAACCTGCATTATCTGAACACTGAAATAAGGAGAACCAAGGAACTTCTCTAAAGTGAACCATTAATACTACCAGAAATCTCCATAACAGGACCTTCAGGTCTCCAATAATCTGCTTCCTATGTATGGCATATTGGCATCGATCCCTGCCAGGTGGTTCTCATTGTGTTTATTTCTTTTTGAATGAAACCTCATTTATCCGAAATGCTGTTTATTCTGAAAAACTTATAAAATTTCCTTAGCTTATTCGTCAAAACCACATTTTTAGTTGATGTAGAAATAAATGCTTAGTACATGATCTCTGTTTCCTCCGACATCACATGCCATTTGGATCTTTGAAAGATTGCTACAGTCATAGAGCTACTTTTTCCATATTCCTGAGGTTAATATGTTCTAGTGAACAGCCTACAATCCTGTTGGTGGGTATTTTTATAAATCTATAAAAAGATAGATTTCACAACATATCTTTACAAGCCAGCAAGAGGTGAGGTGTTCGCTCAAATACAATAACTTGAATATCTGAAATTCGCAAAGACCTTGTTGATTTAGAACTAGGATGAATATATGGTTATTTTCTTGGTGTTTATATATTTTCTATCTTCTGTAGATGCTGTCAACTGTGCTAAATATCATCATGTTTGAAGACTGCCGAAACCAGTGGTCCATGTCACGGCCGCTGTTAGGTCTCATCTTACTGAATGAGGAGGTATGTGAGGTTATGTCCCCTGATCTTCCTGATTGACTAACTACTGTATACCAGCACATTTTTGCCACAGTTTAAATTTCGCCTTTTTCGTCTTCCGTATTGATGGCAAATTTATCATTACAGCGAATATTAGTAAACATTGTTTTATATATATAGTAATTAAATCTGAAGGCGAAATAAAACCTGGGCATATATGGATTTTGACCGCAAAGGGCGAAAATTTGTCTGGTGTACAGTATAGTGTGTCGCCCCCCATTTATTATTGAACAAAGAGTTATGGTTGGACAAATGTGTGAACTAAGTGAACTCAAAAATAATCTCTTAGTCTTTTTTAGTCCTGAACATGTGATGGCTAATATCACAGATGTCAAATGCTGTGATATATAAACCAATAATAATATAGTCAAACAAATATTTAGAAGCCTTTTTATGCCTCACCAGGCAAGACGTGCAGTCAGTAACAACATTGTGCTACACTTTTATCTAGTTTGGAGAAAAACCTGTTTTAAAATGTGGTAAAGTAACGTGCCTACCGATTTTACCTATGATAAGCCAATGTCTGGTAATAACCCACCCTCCACTTTTCCTTACTTTTGGTATATCTTATTGTAGTGCTATGCTATAAATATTTGTTTAAAGTCAGGTTTACTTTAATTTCTGTATGACTTACTGCCTTGTTGTTGTATTTCAGTACTTTAACAAGTTACGAGACAATATTATCTCCAGCCAGCCCGGGGATAAACAGCAGAGGATGGTCCAGTGCTTCGAAAACTTAATGAATGGAATTGAGCGGTCACTTTTGACCAAGAACAGAGATAGGTAAGGGTTTTATATGATTGATATTATTAATGTAAAACCTTTTTAGAATTTCTTAGTACACTTGTAAATATTAATGTAAAACTTATATAATTTCTTGGTACACTTGTAAATATCAACGTAAAACCTATATAATTTCTTGGTACACTTGTACAATATGTATGTACTTATTGTGACATGCTTGTAATGTTCAATCAAAGGTTTTTTGAAACATATAGAGGGATATGCATACCGGGTAAAAGTTCATGTTCTTATTTCGGAAATTGAAGGAAAGATTTCAGCTTTTTTCTCAATTTTTTTATGTCTGATTCCTTCAATTTATCATGGGTTACATTTTTGTTAGTCATCATCTTCAGACCCAACTTCAACACTTTCACAAGTGTAAATGGCCACCTCCTTGAGAAATTTGGTTTTCATTTGATGCCTAGACTTGTACATTTTTTCCTGACAAGATGAGAGAAAAATACATGGAATACCTGTATGTATAAATCTGTGTGTCCTTTTTTTAATGGTGATTGAAAATTCTGCTTTTTGTGCTTATGAATTTAGATCAAATTCAAAACCTGTGTCAAGGAATTTTCAATTCTTCCACAGAAACCTGAAAGAATCTCAGACTTATATTCCATGAATTTGTTTGTCAGACTTAGTCCATCAATGCATGAAATCGGATTTCATTAACCATTTCACCCCTATGTAACTTCATTAAACTCTTCCATGCATTGAGCGGGATGAGTCTATTATGGTCTACAGTGGTGAAAGGGTTAAATGAATTATTTTTATATTACTTACAGATGGTTGTATTTTGGTATATTTCAGGTTTACACAGAATTTGTCGGTGTTTCGTCGTGATGTGAATGACTCTTTAAAAGCCCCCGGTGGCCAAAGTCCTATTCCTTCCTCCTCTTCTTCACTAGACATGATGAGTTATAGCTAATGTTTGTTCCCTGTGGTGTGAGAGTGTTTCTAGGTGATCTCTTAAAATGGTCATTCGGCCTCGGTGACTTGCGACTAGTGCTCACCAGGCCATGGTATGGATGGTCAATGTCTGGACAGCTGGACACTAAGCTATGGTGAGGATGGTCATTTTATAGTGTTCAACATTTGTTATGGAGTGAATAATCATTGGACGCCATGTGGGTTATCGTCGTCTGCGCGGACGTGGATGGTTATTCGACATTCGTTATGGAGTGAATAATCATTGGACGGGACTATTGGACGCCATATGGATTATCGGCGGCGGCACAGACGTGGATGGTTATTCGACATTTGTGTAGGATGTGGTTTGTGTTCTTGTCCAGTTGTAACTGGACACCTGTATAAATGGGTCATTACTCTGCCTCAGACCATAGCATTAAGGGCATATGCTACCTTACATCTTTTTTTCAAGAGAGTTCCGTGCTTAGGAATCTGTAAAATACATTTATTATAAATGTTGAATTGGATTTAGTCAATAAGTTAACTCATTCACCCCTGACATTTCATAATGAAATATTCAAACCTTTGATCTGCACGAGTTCAAATGTGTCTTCAGGGGTGAATGTGTTAACATGCTGTGATATCACTTTGGGAATTATTTTTAAGG